TCAACAACAAAACAAAATACTCAGCAAAAAACTAAAGACCCTTCAAAAAATAAACAAAAGAAACAAAACGAGGTTGGGGGAAATTTCCGCACAAAGGCTATTTTCCGTGGAAACCAAATCACTGAAACCAGATCATTTCTATCTAGTTGCATAGTTGTTAGGGTTGTTAGGGTTGTTAGGGTTGTTAGGGTTGATAGGGTTGTTAGGGTTGTTAGGGTTGTTATAGGCAGGGAATTTTCCTCAACAATCTGAACTTCAACCTAACTTTGAATTTTATTTCACAATAGCAATTCGACCATGCTGATTCCAAATCCGAGATGGGCCCTTTGAAATTTCGACCGGAGTTGTGGTTTTTTGATGACGTCACAGAGGGACATTTTTTGCAAGAAAAACACTCATAGCGGGGCAAAAAAACACGTGAATTGAGTGAAAACGGTCTCCATCGATAGTTCTCTATGCTATGATTTGAATGGTGTATATTTTTCAGAGAGTTATGCAGATGTCAGCAAAAAATTGATGACGTCATCATTCGGCAAAATAGTAAAGTATAGCACGAATAGCGGGTAAACGAATGCTGTTGATTACAATATACTCTCAATGTTAATTAAAACTTGACCGCAAGGTATCTATTTAACTAAATCCTGGTAGCCAATCAGATCTGTCAGAATCATCATTATCGCTTTCGTCATTTGATGAATATCCAAAAAAATATATACTCCAACTCTTCTGTTTCTTGATATATTTCTTCGTTGTCAACCTTGAATTCAGGTGCATATCTAGCACGTTTTTGGGAAGGAGAATTGCTTCTTGTTTTAATTGCAGATTCCTTTGACGAAGGCAGTTGACTTCCTGAAGTTGAAGTAAAAATTTCAGCATTGAATTTTACACAAAAAATATTTTTCAAAATCTTTTTCCTTCTTAAACTGATTTTCTAGTACAATGGTTGTATATTTTGCTACCTACTAAACGACTAGCTAGTAAATGGAAACAGAAATTACCAGTAAACCATATTGGCACCAAAATTCCATTTTGAAGATCCTTCTTCCAGCCATAATCTTCAGCTCTAATGTTAGTGACTGTATAGCTTCCCCATTGTAGCCAATAATATGCCTGGAAATGTACACGTAGCAAGGCTTGCCGCAATGAATCAGGATCGGGTGGGATTGCCTGTGATGCTTTGGTTTTCAAGGACTTTTAGAGACGTATGCGCGTTTCCACTAATGATTCTGTTTCTTTGCCAGAGTACATTACTGTCTGAACAAATTTCATACTTTCTTCAAGTTCTTTCTCTGGTAAAATTTCACTTTGGCCAATAGATTGTAGCAAATCTAGTAATTCTGGCTTTTTTTCACTTTATTTAAAACTTTGATCTTCCCAACCCCAAAGAAAAAGGAAGTTGTGTCACAACCTGTCAGACTGTGCAATTGTGGCAAGTAAGACGATATTTTAGAACCAAGGTATTTGTTCACTTTGCCTATGTCCACGTATTTGTCATGATCTATCTTCATGTACCATTTGCTGCAAGGTTGAAGCTTACTGTAAGCATAGACCAGCAGAACGAAAACGTCAGTGTCTTTCGCTACTATTACGACATTTGTGTCTTGAAGAGAAGCATGCAATATAAGTCTCGTATCAGCTACTTCATGATTGCACTTGAAAAGCTCGTTAGCAGTTGTTGTCGTAAGCCAGGGGTCGGCAACCTTTATAAAACAGGGGGCCAAATTTGATTTTTGAAATGCATACGAGGGCTGCAACTCAAACTACAGTATAGTTTTAATATATACCAATTCTACCTAACTACTAATCTAATCAATAAAAATGTATTTATCTGAAAATGTACTGTAACGTGGAAGCGGTACGTAAATACAAACATAGATGTAAAGTACATGTTCACTGTTCAGTGCATTACAAGAAGCTAATGGGCAACTTGCTGCTGCACGTCCTTGGCCAACTTCTCAATATTCGGCAGAATTGTTGATGTTGGCAGCCGCAAGTTGCCTTCAAGGTGCTGATCAGTCATGCGAGATCGCAGTCGACTCTTCGCATGCTTCATCTTTGAGAAGAGACTTTCGCAAAGGAGAGAAGTACTTCCAAACATGCAACACATTATCTTGGCATGCTGCACCAGACCTTGATATGAACCATTATACACCATGGAGTTATCAACCACTCCATATAAAACGGGATTATCTGAGTTTCCTTGTATTTCTGTTTCAATTCACTGGTACCCTGCAGCTCGATCAACTCCATTTGAAGATGGAAAGTGAACCAAGTTCCATTGATTCAGCTGAGTTTTCCAAAGATGTAGCATAAGCAGGAACATGACATGTTCATACATGACATTCACAAAATGACAGTGGCCTTGAAGCTTCTTCTTCAGCTTGTTCGAGTGACTAGTAATATTAACGAGGAATGCTAATCTAGGCAAGAATCTAAGATCACTGAATCAATATCGAGCTGACACTCGTGCATTCGGCCACATTATTTACAAGTTAACAGGGGCCTTCTGGGCCACACAAAAATTCCTTGCGGGCCGCATGTGGCCCGCGGGTTGCCGACCCCTGTCGTAAGCGCTAATGTATTTTCACCA